ATGCAGGTATGTCTGCTATTAAATCAGCTTCTACCTCTATGAAGAATTCAGCAGGACCTTCCATTAAAGATTTCATTATTAGATCACCTTCTTTCATTCTCTCAATAAAATTTAGGAATCTGTCTCTCCACTGATTGTAATCACCACGAAATAGAACAGGTGGCTTGGTATCAGTACCAATAGTCATTGCTTCTCATGAACTCATCGTATCAATTTGTATGAAATAGGATCAACTGCAGTTCAAAGTTTGAATTAAAGGATCAGTTTACAAAAATATATCTGATAATATGTAAACAAAACTTCGTACACATTCAACACTTAGAACAATTTATGCAAAACACTTATCCGGATTAGTAATCCGGTCAAGCTTATCCGGATTGAAAGTCCGGTCAACAAGATAGAATATTCAACAAGTTATCCGGATTAGAAGTCCGGACAACAAGTAAGCTTAAATCGCCCAAAACACTTAACCAGATTTTAACAAAAGAATGCAAAATTTAGACGGATTATGCAAAATGAAATACGGATAAGGCACAAAATTCAATTTGATTTAAAATTCTCAAATCGGATGTTTTCAACACTTACTCAAAATTCCAAAATGAAAATCGGACGTAAAAAGTCAACAAGTCAACAAGTCAAAGTCAACTAAGTCAACTAAGTCAACAAGTCAAAATACGTATAAGTCCTTTTAAAATAAATCGATGAAAAGTCAAAGAAATAAATCGATCAAAAAGTCAATATTCGTTCAATCACAAAGGAATATACGATCACAATTATAAATCGCTCAAGTAGACAAATTTAAAGTCTTACCAAGCGGATTCTTTAAATCGCTTATTAAATCGCACAAACCTTAAACTTCTTACCAGTCGGATTATATAAATCGGCCATTAATCCGTTCAAGTAACCAAAGACTTACCAGCCGGATTGTTTAAATCGCACACTAATCCGCACAAGTTATCAACGGTTTACCAGGCAGATTGCTAAATCGCTGATCCGCACAAGTGTTGTCCGGATAACCTATATCAAGCAACTCAAAATTCACACGGATGTTAAATCGCACAAGTAATACGCGGATAACACCCTAAATCGCACAAGCTTTAATCGGAATAAAATTCAATCAAAAACACAAAACTTCACACTTTTTACCAAAAAATTGGATCAAAACATGAAAAAAAAATATGAGTTTTGAAGAAAATTTTCCAGAATACGAAAAATCAATTTTCGATTAAAACTGGTTTAAAACTTGCTTAAAATAAAAAATAGTGTGAATCAAGATTGTTCGTAATGCAAAATCGAATCTAGCGAAGTAAATCTTTACAAATAACACTAAAAAATTAACCGATTTAAGCTCAAAAACCCAATCTAGATGAAAAACTCTCAAGAACAGTGATGAACATCATGACCCAGATCGATGAATCTTCAAAAAATTCGTGAAAAATTGTGCAAAATTTGTTCAATCCTCTAATCAAAACTGCTGCAGCTTGCTCTGATACCAATTGTAAAGTCCCAAAATCATACAAACATGATATGATCTTCAAGAATTAAGATGAATAGAATAATAGAAAGAATATCTTCAAAGAATGATTAGATTGAGAGAGAGAGAGAGAATTACAGCTGAAAAACTTGATTACAATTTGCTAATCACTTCGTAATGACAATTACAAGAAAAATACTATTTATACAAGGAAATGTAAAGGCTACACTATTACAATATAAAACTACACTAAGGAGATAAATCTGGTTAAGGTTAAGTGGAAGTTTCACAAAGAACCAGAAGCGACGTGGGAATTGGAGTCAAAGATGAGATCAGAATACCATTGGCTCTTTAATTAAAGGAATTCCAGGATGAAATTCTTTTGAGGGGTGGATGATGTGATAACCAGATCCTGGTTGTCACTTGAGGTAACTTATATGTGATTATTTGTTATATATGAATACATGACAGTATGATAAATTGATACATTTGATCATGTTAATTTATGTATATATGAGTGCATATGTATGCATAATATATATATATATATATGCATGATATGCATGCATGCATGTGCATATGTGCAAAGGTGTATATATATGGTTATTTGAAAGGGGGTAATGTATATGCATGGGGTTATGTAAACATGCATGTGGTGATGTTGAAGTCAGCCGACCTTCCATGAAGGGAAGGGTATAAAAGGAGGGTTAACCTCCATTTTGTTTTCTTCTTACCATTGTTAGAATCTGAGTGTGCAATTTAAGAAAGTAGTGGTGACCGGATTGCTTTTGATTGGATTCAAGTTGTGCTCAACCTTATTTCTAAAAAAAAATTAAGGTGAGTGATTCAAATATTTTACTCTTATTGAAATGCATAATTGTTTGTATAAAACTTCCAACTGGTTTTAAGTTTAAATCATTTGAGTGTTATCCGGATTAGACCTAAACTGGATAAGTATTAGGCGGTTTAGTCTTAAACCGGACAAGCTCTAGGCTATTTAAATATAAATCGGGCAAGTGTTTAGCGATTTAGACCAAAACCGAATGAGTGTTAAGCGGTTTAGTTTTAAATCGGACAAGGGTGAGCGAATTAGACATTAAACCGGACATGTCTTAACCGGTTTAAAGATTGAGCGATTTATGAACTTTGATCTTATGTCTATATTTTAAATCGGACGATTATGAATAGTGTTGTCTGGATTAGTAATCCGGACAAGATTATGAGAATTATTCTAAGTGATAAATCGAACAAAATGAGAAGAGTTGACCGGATTGGTAGTCCGGCCAAGGTTTGACCGGATAGTGTTTTGACTTATCATTTTGTTATTCTTTTAACAAGAAGTGGGAATTTTTGGTAAGAATAAATTTAAACTGATAATAATTCCATTGACTGCGGTCTATTCTATATGGAATTATTTTGTGAAAATGTTTTGATGAGGAAATAAGGGTGTCATATCAATAAGAGGTGTACCATGGGATAAGGGTGACATATCAAGGAGAGGTGTACCATGGGATAAAGGTGACATATCAAGGAGAGGTGTACATTTGGATATAAGGGTGGCATTTGTATGTGTGTTGTATGATATAACTCTTTCTATTATATCCCTTAAGACTACCGTGGTCTGAAATCTTTATTTCTTTGTGATTTAAAAATTTAGGATCAAGGTTCTTATTGGAATTCGTAGTCTGGATGTTATTGAGGAGAAAATAACAGGTTTGGCCTGAAACTTTAAATAAACTTTGTTAGATTAGAAAAGGTTTAAAAGTCGCATTATATGAAACCTGGTGGGTTCAAAGGTATGTTATTTGAATAGCTGAATGCTTGGCTTGAAAAATGGAAAGGAACTGGTAATATGTCCCTATTTGTTCATATATTTATTATATATATGAAAAGTTGTTTTTCAAAAAGGTTTTGGTGATTTTCACCCTCCAATGTCATAAATAGGGTAACTCACTAGACCTTTCGGTCTAACCCTCGTTTTGTGATTTTAAATATGTATTGCATGAGGTACAGACGGTAAGGGAAAGGGGGAAAATGTGATATTTTCCTATATACTTATCTACATGAAGATTTATTAACGGCATGTATAGTTTTGTTAGGTGGATCTGGTTCAGTGCAAGAATTATATTTTGATTTTTTGGACCTTGTATTCTGTAATGATAGATTCTTGTACTAGTGGACCTATGTGGTGTATAAACATGTATTTCTTGTATATGGAATATAGGTTACATGCAAAGTGTTGAATGAGGTGTTACAATCACCAAGGTCGCATCCAACGTTAGGCAGAGGAAGGTCTTTACCATCATCTTTCTCTTCACTATCCTCATCACCAGCATTTACTGCAAAGTTGATAGGAAGGTGTTGATCCTCTCTCTCAGTGATTTGATGATAATCCCTTTTTGTTGTATACGACGTATTTTGTGTTTCTGTCTTTTCAGTTCCAGCGATCTTCACTGAGTCTGTTCAGTGATCGCTGAAGAACTTGTATCGTAAAATTCAATCAGCGACATCGATACTTCAAGAAGACAACACTCACACCAAAGAACCTTCAGCCAATGTCAGAGACTGAAACTGAAGACTAGAGACTGGCGAGTACGTGATCTGAAGCGGTACTCAGTGATTACAAGTATAACACCCTAAAGAAAAAGATAATTTAAACCAAGAATGTTTAACGAGAACCGGAAGTTTTATGTAAAATTCACCTTTAAAAGGTAATAGTATAGCGTTTACAAATCAGCAGCTGAGATGATAAATAACAACCTACTAATCTAGATTATTTTATATCTAGATTAAAGACGGGTGTTTCCATCAATATCCAAAAATACCGTAATATCAAAAACGCAACACTCAAAGTTACAAAGGCTATATCTACAAAAGAGCCTTTCACGAACCAACGCTCCTCTCAACCCTTTTGAGCCCCGCCGCTAAAGGAACCTGATAAGTAAACAAGTCAAGAAAAGTGTTAGGCTTACGCCTAGTGAGTTCAATCAATGAAATAATGGTAGCTATAAAACTTTCTAAATATGCATATATATATATATATATATATATATATATATACGGATTGACGTAAATTCAAACGATGTAAGAAAGCAATAAATCCAAAATTTCACGAATGCACCAGCAGTATTTAAGAAACTGTTGGTGCATTCGTCAATCCGAAGGGCAAACCGGGTAAATCTTCCGGGAATACATCAAGAAACTCGTTGACCACATTCACATCCTCAATCTTCCTTTTTTCTAGCTTGGCATCTAACACGTATGCAATGAATGAGGGGCACCCCTTAGCTAAGCATTTGCACGCCTTTGCCACCGATAGGAGTACTACGTCTCCCTTCTTTCTTTCTCCATAAACTAGCACAGCACCCCCGTCCGACAAAGGAATTCGAATTAATTCATAGAACATAAGATCTCTGCTTGGTTCTTTGCTAACCAGTCCATTCTAATGATGATGTCGAATCCACCGATAGTCATGGGTATAAGGTCCACTCAAAATTCCTTTCCCTCGATTCCTAACACGCAACTCCTAACAACTCCTGAAGTGACCTGGCTCCCCGCATCCAAAACAGATGGGTCCTTTGATAGGACATTCATTTCGCGTGTGGCCTGGCTTCCCACATTTAAAACATTTTGCAGGAGTAGGGTTGGTGGTGCACGGGTCGTGGTGTTTAGTGCGGCATTTGGAGCACCACCTAGCCTCTTGTTTAGGGTAAACTCCCTGTTTGCTGTTGTTGAGATGACTTGGTATCTTGGAAGGTGCGTACTGATTTTCCCACTTCCTCGTCTCACCACTTGCCCCCTTCTCTTCTCTTCCTTTAGCATAAACCATTTCCATGACTTTCGCTTCTTCAATTGCCTCCCTAAGGGTGGAGGCCCTGGAGTTCCTAACCATAACCATCATGTCAGCGGGCAGTCCCTTGAGATAAGCTTTCATTTTTTTCTTTTCCCGTTGGAGCCACATGTCCCACTAAATTTAGTTTTTCCATGAATAGTCGTGTGTAGTCTCTCACTGACAAGTTTTCTTTCTTAAGGGTCCGAAACTCCTCTTCAATACGGTCCATTTCTTGTTCGTTGCAATATTCCTCCAATAATTTCTCCTTAAACGTGGCCCAACTCATCTTGGCTAGCTCTTGAGCCTCTATAGTTAATATGACGATGTTCCACCAAGTAAGAGTCGTACCCCTAAACATTTGAGAGTCAAATTTTGCCTTTTGCCTTTCATCACAGTCACATGCCCGGAAGGCCTGCTCGATCTCTCGAAGCCAATTCATGCATGTCACGGGATCATCTGACCCCACAAACTCCAGTGGTTTGCAACTCAAAAACGTTTTGTAAGAACAAATCCTTCCCACTTGTCTTGCATCAATTGTTGCTAGTTCTTGAGTTGGAATTCCATTTCCGGTACCCCCGGATCCCACAATGGTTAAGTTCTCGGCAACTGCTTCCTGCTTACGATTGTTGGCGTCTCTATCCTCTAATAACTTCATAAAGAACTCCTTTTGCAGGGCCATAGCTCTGTTCATAACGCCCATCATTGTGCCCATCATTCTTGACTCCGGGGTTTCCTCTTCTATTACAGGGTTAGAGGTGACAAGGTTAACTTGGGGAACGCGGCCAACTCCATCACCCGAGGTGTTTTGCCTAGGATGCACTCTTGCGATTGTGGTCCGTGGCGGTTGATCCGCGGTGGATTCGATCACCACGAGACCTTCTAGTGAGGTATCCCATCTACTCCGAGTATTCACCATTAAAGACTGCCATACAAGAGAGTGAAAAAGAGTTATGATAGGACGAACACGGAACTAACATAATACGTACCGATGCATTCATAAATTCTTGTAATAACAGTAAGTTCAAGCATGTTTGTGTAATAACTTACTCAAAATAGCATTAGCTAAGTGAAATTTTGAATAGGTTATACATAAGAAATCTTAACACCATCGTCACAGTTCATGAACGGGGTAACACCGATGACCCTAGTGCTCTCCTATCTTAAAAAAAATTCTACCCATATCTCACAATTAACACTTACAATCTCAGCTTAAGTCTAAGCGTCATGATCCCTTACCTAGTTCACTTAAACTAGTGCTCTGATACCAACTTATAACACCCTAAAGAAAAAGATAATTTAAACCGAGAATGTTTAACGAGAACCAGAAGTTTTATGTAAAATTCACCATTAAAATGTAATAGTATAGCGTTTACAAATCAGCTGCTGAGGTGATAAATAACAACCTACTAATCTAGATTATTTTATATCTAGATTAAAGATGGGTGTTTCCATCAATCTCCAAAAATACCGTAATAACAAAAATGCAACGCTCAAAGTTACAAAGGCTATATCTACAAAAGAGCCTTTCACGAACCAACGCTCCTCTCAACCCTTTTGAGCCCCGCCGCTAAAGGAACCTGATAAGTAACCAAGTCAAGAAAAATGTTAGGCTTATGCCTAGTGAGTTCAATCAATGAAATAATGATAACTATAAAACATTTTAAATATGCATATATATATATATATATATATATATATACGGATTGACGTAAATTCAAACGATGTAAGAAAGCAATAAATCCAAAATTTCACACAGAGAAGCCAAAACATCCAAGGATGACGGGGGAGACCCGATTTACCGTTGATTATAACAAACACAAAGTAAGTCATAAATCGACGTTATAGAGCATCACTTACAGGTTTAATACCATCGACATCAACCTAAACCAGTCATGTAGTCGGTCATGATCTTAAGCTCTTTATCTCGGAAATTACATAATAATCGCAATGCCTATTTCCGAGTGGGTGAGTAGGTGGCTTGGAAATTACATAGTAATCACAATGCCTATTTCCAACTTACACCATTCCTCACGCAAATATAATAAAACGACTTCCGTGCCTACAAATCCATTACATTCTAGCAAAATAATCAAATGCATTAACGTAAGGATATAATTGCTTGCACATCACCCATATTTTGCACGAGTCCTAATTCAAACGATACAAACTCATTTGTCGATAATTAACCCCAAAAGTAGGACATGGTGGTTCTAGATTTTATGACATACCATGCTTGAAATAAGTAATTTACCAAAGATTAGATCCATCCTTCCAAACTCATCTAGTGCTTATAATCTCTATCTAAATCTAACAAGTAGTCATTTACAATTTTAATATAAGATAAGTATAGTACGTCACGCCATTTGGTATGAAGCTTCTAATTAAAGTAGGAACTCACCTCGGATGATTTAGGGGAAATCCCAAGTTTTGAATCAAAAGATAGACGGACGGGAACTCAAAATTATTAGAGAAGACTGAGAGCAGGACATTTGCGGCTGCTGATGGCTGTTTCTATCGCGAAGGCTCGGCAGTGGCTTGCTGTTTTGTGCGTGGCGAAGAGGTGATGAAGTACGCAGCAAGGTTGTTGTCTGCTGCTGCTCGGGAAGAGATCGGCAGCTCCTGCTGCTGCATGGGAAGAGGTTGACAGCACCTGTTGCCTCTGCTGTTGCTTTGCTGTTGTTCGGCGACCAGGACAAAAGAAAAGGAACACAACAGAGCTGTTGTTAGAGTGACCGAGAGCTAAGATACAGCACAGCAAGACCGCTGTTTGCTGTTGCTGTCCGAGGAAAATAAGAAAACACAGCACTGCTCCTCCTTGCTACTGCTGCTGCTGGATCAAAAGGAAACGAGAAGGACACAGGCAGCAACCTGTTGCTGTAGGTGCTCGAGACGAAACAGAAAGAGTATCGCAGAGCTGCTGTTCCGCAAAACACAGCAGCGTTTGTCGCTCGGTGGTCCTAGTTGCGGAAGCGGATGGTGGCACGGTGCGGTGGTCCTCGGAGCTAGACAGAACCGGCAACTATGGATCCTTCCAATGAGCTCCTTTCAAACCGTGAAAGAGACAGTTCCCCCCCTTTTCTTTCTCAGGTACACTCTCCCTTTTCTCTAACCTCTTTTCACACTCAACCTCAGTCTTATTGCAGCCATTCTCGGCCCTTCCCAAGGTGAGGAGAAAACCAAAGTTCTAATTTTTCCTTTCTTTTTTCTTTTTAAAAGAATAAAACAACTAGAGGTAAAACTAGGGTAGGAGGTGAGATGACAACCCCCCCTCCTTTCCTTTTTCTTTTTAATAAAAACTTAAGAAAGGACCTAATAAACTAACAATAATAAGTTTATAAAATTCTGATATAACAAAAGAAAACATAACATCATAACGAGACGGAAACCCCGATGTGAACGGAACAGAAAGTGTGGAAAAGATGAAAACTAAAATAAAAACTAAAATTTTTTATTTTTTTATTTTTTTAGAGTGTTACAACAAGCCTGTCTATATATGTGTGAAGACTGCCCAAGCCTCAGCGAATGCTGAAGAGACCTTCAGGTTATTCCAACATCAATCGATCAAATGAAGCTTGCCAAACACGATTGTTGTTGTCTTGTTCTTATACACACAAAGGGAAAAACCCATACCCTTTCTAAATGTTAGTACGGTATGGAGCCGACAAGTTGACTCTATTACCCACAAACTTTGTGAAAAGATGTCTGCACTGTAGCAAAGGACAAGTCTTCTCCTTAAGGCTTGACACGCGTTCTAACCCTACCACGTTGCATTAAATATGCATTTAATGCAATGGGTATAAATAGATGTGTTCTATCTCCATGCAGAGATACTCTGAACAAAAACCTTACTCTAAGCATCCTTGAGCTTAAGTAAAAGAACACACATCTAAGAACAAATACGCTTATCTTCAAGAGCAAGTTAGAATCCCTTTTTTGCATTCTAAACAAGTTCATTCCCGGAAAGAACTTACTTTCTTCTATTTATTTAACAACAAATCTTTTCTTATTTGCTAAGTTTAAATGTGTAAACTAAAGATTGTTTAGATAGGTTTTCTTACCTTACCTTTTCGCAAAAAGTCTTGTAAAATCTGTATTAATCTTCTCTTATCAATATATATTTTAAATTTGAAAATATTGTGTTTGTATTCATCCCTCCCTTCTACAAACTGTTATACATATCTTGTAGACCCTAACGAAACCAACAAAAGGTCTTCATCAATAGCAGGCGCCATGAAGGCATCATCATCATCCTCAGCTTCAGCTTCGCCGAATGTGATGGCATCCTCATGGTGAGGGATCACAGCTTGAGGGGCAGCTTCAGTGGCAACAACATCTTCAGCTTTAGGTTCCTTAGCAATTTCCTGGGGCAGGTCTTTCTCTGTAAACCCCTACTTTCCACATTTGCATATAATCATGTATTTCATATATTAAGAAATACAATAACGTAACTTCGGTCCCAATAATACAAGAAACGGTATTACAGAATTTACAACTCAAAAATTCCAAAAATAATATTCTTGTACACCACTTGTATAAATAACAAGTATTCCAAAAATCCATCAGATAATATGTTGATCTTCATAGAACAAGTAAACATAATAGAAAAATATTTTACATTTTCCCATTCCCCTTATCCCTAGACATAGCCTGATCTGTAATGCATTTTTAAAACACAAAATGAGGTTTATACCTTGAGGTCTAGTGAGAAATCCCTTATCTTTGCAATTACAGGGTGAAGATCACCAAAACCTGTTATGAAAATCACATTTGAACATCCAACAATTTTGGTAAAATATAATCCTAGTAACACAAACCAACTTCAAGTAATAAATGCGTTTTTACCACATAGGAAAATATAATCACTCAGATCCTCATAGATATTTGGTACATAGCTTCCTAAAGCTCTTAAATCTCATATGGTGCGTTTGGTACGCAGACACAACAGGACGGGACAGAACAAGTCAGGACATGACAGAACAGGACAGGACAGTTGTTCAGCGTTTGGTAAGACATGACAGGACTGGACATAACTGGTTAAAATGACCAATTTACCCCCAGTGAGCTATTTA